ACTTTTGTCATGCTTGAGTCCATTGATGCTGTCACTTGGCCAATCCATCTCGTTGGGGGTCTTCCTCTTTTTCTCTGACCCTCCACCTTACCAAACATGATATCCTAATCCAGTGACTGGTCCCTCCTGACAATATGTCCAAAGTTGTTGTTGTTGTTGTTAATGTGTGCCGAGTCAGTTCCAACCCATAGTGACCCTGTATAGGGTTTCTGACAAGTGACTGGTGAGCTTGAACTGCTGATCTTGCCGATCAAATCAATGTTGCAGTCAAGTGCATTAACCCGCAGTGCCATTTGTTGTTAAGTGCTGTCGAGTCAATTCCGACCCATAGCGACCCTATAAAGGGTTTCCAAAGAGCAGCTGGTGAGCTTGAACCGCCAACCTTACAGTTCAAACAGCTTTGCAGTCTGGCGCATTAACCCACCGCCACACCAGGACTCCATTAGAGACACCACACCAGTGCCATTGTTGTTATGTGCCGTGGAGTCGGTTCCGACTCATAGCGACCCCTGTACATGGTTTCCGAGGCTGTAAATCTTTACAGGAGCAGAAAGCCTCATCTTTCTCCCGCGGAACAGCTGGTAGTTTCGAACTGCTGACCGAGGTTCACAGCCCGATTCGTAACCACTACGCTACCAGAGCTCCTTACACCAGTGCCATTAGAGAGGTCCATTAGAGACCTCACACCAGCACCTTTATTGTGAAGCGCTATCGAGTCAGTTCTGACACATAGCGACCCTGCATAGGGTTTCCGAGGAGCAGCTGGTGTACTTGAACCGCTGACCTTGTAATTCAAACGGCTTTGCAGTCTGGTGCATTAACCCACAGCGCCATACCAGGACTCCATTGTTGTTGTTAAGTGCTGTCGAGCTGGTTCTGACCCATAGCGACCCTGTACGGGGTTTCCGAGGTTGCAAATCTTTATGGGAACAGAAAGCCTTATCTCTCTCCTGTTGAACAGCTGGTAGTTTCGAACTGCTGACTCTGAGGTTAGCAGCCCGATTTCATAACCACTATGCTACTAGAGCGCCTTAGGACTCCATTAGAGATGTACACATAGAAACAGCAACGTGCTATCATGTAACTCCAGTCCTAAGAGCAAGGATAGAAAAGAAGGGAAAGCAACAAGTGCTGATTAAGAAGTGGAGAGATTGGAACTCTCATACACTGATGGTGGGACTGTAAAATCGTACAACCACTGTGGAATATGGGATGGCATACAAGACTACACCCAGGAACACATATAGGTTTGAAAGGCTATTTCTACAGTAATATCTGTATGTGCTACACACATATATATATCCATGTAGACAGGAGACCTTCAAAAAGTTCATGGAAAACTATTATCTTTTAATTCATTTTTTCTGCAAAGTTTTTGGGGTGGGGTCAAGGAGTTAGGATTAAGACTATGACTAAATCTTATCTAAACCTAGGACTTCATTTAGTGTTAGGGTTATGGTTAGGACTAGGGTCAGTGTTAAGGGTAAGTGTTTGACTAGGGCTAGCGTAGTGGTTACGAATCGGGCTGCGAACCTTAAGGTCAGCAGTTCGAAACTACCAGCTGCTCCGCGGGAGAAAGATGAGGCTTTCTACTCCCGTAAAGATTTACACCCTCGGAAACCCTGTACAGGGTCGCTATGGGTCGGACCCGACTCGATGGCACTTAACAACAACAACAGGAGTAAGGCTGGCTCTAATTTTAGGGTTACAATTAAGTTTCTTTTTATCTAATTTTTTCTTGAAATCGACATGATTTCCTCTTCATGTGGAAATTCTACATTATTCCCTCTTTTCAGTTTATAGGTTTTGTTGTTACAACTGGTGTCTCTGTTTCCCTATTTTCAGTCTTGTAGGTTTGTTTTACTTTGAATACTTCTGTATCTGGGTAGTTCTGATGTGGTACTGTAGGATAAGCACTGGACTGATAATTACAAGGTCAGCAGTCAAACCTACCAGCCATTCCTCATAGGCTAGCTGAGTTGGAACCAATGCAACAAACAGCACTTACCACCACCACCATCTGGGTTCAGTTCTAAGTGATAGTGTCATATATTTTAATCTCAGGTTGGTATTTGCTGTTGTTGGTTCTCTGACCAAAAAACTCTTCTAAGTATTCTTTGTAAGATTGGTCTGGTTTTTACTAATACTTTTATTTTCTGTTTATCCTAATTTCACCATCATATTTGATGGACATTGTTGCTGGGTGTGTGATTCCTGTTTGGATTCATTTCTTCTTCTAGAGATTTATATTGCTATTCCATTGTCTTCTTACTTGCATGGGTTCTGCTCAGAAATCAGAGTTTAGTTCTCCTTTATAAGTAACTTTTTGTTTTTCCCAAACTGCTCTCAGACATCTTTCCTTGGCTTTGGTTGTGAAAAGTTTGATTATAATACGTTCATCTTGGTGACTTTCTTTTGAGGGGGGGTGTCTATTTTATGTGGAATTTGTTTAATTTCTGGAATGTCTACTGATAATTTCATGATGCTCGGGATGTTTTCTTCCAACAACTTTCGGATGATTTTCTCTATTTTGTTGTGGGGTTTTTTGTCTTTTTCTGTTCTGTAATTCTAATCACCTTGTGATTCCTCTTGGTAGTAGCCACATAAATCTTAGACATCTTTCTTTGCGTTTAATTTTTTAAAAATTGTTCCTCGTGTTATTAAATAACATCAAGTCAGTTCTGACTCACAGCAACCTGTATAGGGTTTCTGAGGAGGGACTAGTGGGTTTGAACTGCAAATCTTATGGTTAGCAGTCCAGTTCTTATCCTACAGTGCCATACCAGGATGCCACCATTCCTCTAGTACCGGGCTGGGGATCATTTTTTCTGCCCAAATTTATAACATCATTTGTTGACCATACCAAATTTCTTGTTAAGAGTTGTTGAGTCAGTTTCAACTCACAGTGATCCTGTATAGGATTTCTGAAGAGCATCTGGTGAGGTTGAACCGCTGATCTTGCAGTCCAAACCAACCTTGCGGTCCAATGCATTAGCCTACAGTGCCACACCAGTACTACAAAATTATCAATTTAAAAATTAACCTGCTATAATTTGGTCAAACATTTAAGTCACTGCTAATGTTATGGCTGCTGTGGGTTAATGCACTGGACTGTAAAGTCAGTTTGAATCACAAGGTCAGCAGTTCAAGCTCACTAGCCACTCCTATACAGAGTCACTATGGGTTGGAACCAACTCAATGGCACTTAACAACAAACGTGATGGCTGGAACTGCAGTTGCTGTGGCAGGGTCAGACAAAATGATTTCATGGACCTTAATATGGTCCATGGACCCCCACCCCTCCTCTAATACATGGATATGGAGAGATTTGTCTTCAATTTGGCCTTCCCTGGATTCAATTCTACTTCTTTGCCCTTTCAATGTATTATCTATTTCTGAAATCTTAGTATTAATCTTCTGGCTTTCTAATTTCCAGAATTCTTCTAATTTTTGTCTGCATTTTCCTTGATTTCATCTGCAGTATTGTGGGTAATTTTCTCAATTCATTGAAAATATTTAAATACAATTAAAAAAATTCTTTATCAAGTAGTTCCAGTACCACATCTGGTATTATATTTTCTGACTCTTTATTTTGGTCAGTTGTTGGGGTCTTGTTTCTTCATGTAAGCTGAAATTGTCTTTTGTATTCTAGAAATTGTGCTATCATAATTATATTTAATTGATGCTTGTATGCTGATGTGTTCTCAAACATTCAACATCTGTGTGTGATAGAGACAGGAAGTATGAATGCAGTTCACTGTGTAGCATACATAGTTCAGGGTAGGTTCACATGCTTCCAGAAGCCAGGGTGGTATGCCCAGAGCCTGACCCCAGGTAGGACAGAGGTTGTGCAGGAAGGGCTGCTACTGAACACTGGGTTGGTGAGGGAGGGGACTGGCCACCCCCTTCCCTACAAGGAGAGCACAAGAACAAAGAAAAACTCCACCCCATTGGCCACCAGCCTCTAATCACATCCTGTGCCTGCAGGCCTCTGTATTGACAGCCACTCACAAAACACAAGATGGCCTCACGGCTCCTCTGAAGCACAGTGTTTCAGGATCACCATCCGTACCTATTTCACTTGGTCTCCCATGTCTTTGCAGAGGATCTGCTCAGTGCATCTGCCTAGTCTACCATCTTATCCCAGAAATTTTCCACACAAAAATTGCAGCCAATTTGTATACTATTGTATATAGGGGGCAAAGATATGAGAATGTCTTGGTCATAACCAAATACTTTGAGGGATTGAATCACTGAGCTCTGGCGCTTAGGACCATAGTTTTGGGAGACACAAAGAAGGTCATTTGGCACAAGAGTCTACAAATACTATACTTCACATCCTACTTTGGTGAGTAGCTACTGGAGCTTGAAGAGCTCATGAGTGGCCATCTAAGACTATGACAACTAGACACCCTTCAAACATCACTAGGAATCACCTTTCAGCCAAACAACAGACAGGCTTATGAAGTGATCAGCTCCATCCATGAGCAGCACACACTGCAGAGCAATCAATCAGACCCAAAGTTCAGAAAACAGCAAGAGACAGGACGAATGCAAATGGGGAACCCAGCTCAGAATGGGGAAGAATGGTTGCAAATCACAGTTCAATAGTTTGTGGGTTTTTTAAAATACAAAGTAAAGAGCCCGGTTCCTCAGCCCCCTGGGTTCAGTTAGCCAGAATTTCTGTAATTTAACAGAGAGAGGGACTCAAAGGAAGCATTGATTTTGGAAAGAGATTTCAGTCTCTTTTTTTTCTCTTGAAATGTGACTGAAAGAGCCCACCATGCAGAGTCAACTTTATTATTCAATCAGGCTTAAATCAGATTCTTGGTGAAAGAGCCGGAAGTGGGAGAAAGTATTGGGCTGGTTCACACAAGGTGCCAGGTTCTAGCACTCATTGGAAGCCCACTCATTACTGACTCCATAGAGATGTGGCCCATGGAGTCCTCTAAAGATAGCTAGGAACAGCAGACTGTGAGGGCTGAGGCAATCAAGACCTTTCAGATGGTCACGCTGTTCTCTACCATGCTGGGTCTAAGGTACTCATAGGGCAGGTCCAGCCTCTTATTCCGGATCTCAATCTCCTTGTCCATAGCAGCCAACTCCACTTGGAATTGCTTCAGCACAGCTTGGGGCTCAGGGCCTGAGAAATATTCCTCCTTGTGCTGCCCTAAGGCCACCTGAGAGGAGAAAAATAAAATGGCTAAGCTCCCTGGGCCCTCAGCTAAGACTACTGCCCCTCATTTAAGTTGAATGCTTCCCCAGTACCCATATATCCATCTAACCATAACAGGCTGCTGTCTTCCAAGGAACTTTGTGAAAGTCTTCTGCACTCGGGCTTGCTGCAGAGTAGGCAGTGAGTCCACTATATCTCTCTCTGTCACATTCTTGGACATGGGTGGGGGTTTCCGCATGGTGCATGGGCCATTAGGGATCCATGAGTACCAGTCCAGCTGCAGGTTGAAGAGACACTCAGAAACCCAGATTGAAGATGTAGGCATTTGATTCCCCCATCCAGTGCAACCCAGGACCCCTGGGGGGATGATCATGATAGGGTACCTGGCCCAGGTGGGCAGAAGCATGCTGAGCAGTGCAGGTGAAGATGCACATGGTAACAAAATGGCAGAGCTGGTCCCAGGACTCTAAAGAGATGGGGAACCTAGATGAAATGGAATTAGAAGCTTTGAGACCAGGACATCAGACAGATATTTGGCAGTATGAGCTTAGGGTGGGCAAATCATTAGAGATGCAGAAAAGTATTTGATTTCTAGATTCTATAGCTCACACATAGTAGGTGAATACGCAAATGTTGGTAGACTTGGCAATCACAAAAGCGCAAATAGATTGGATTGAATAGAGATTATTACCAGGAGCAGAGGGAAAGGGAAGAGCAATGGCTGTAAATGCTGTTTAGGAAGCAAAGAAGAATTGGCAAATGTTATTGGTGATGGTTGCCAAACATGTTTGCTATAATCTATCTCACTGCATTGTATACATGAAAAATGTTGACTTGGCAAATGTGTACTCTGTTTATGGACCTGGGATGAACCTTAGAATATGGAGCGAAGGGAGCAAAGGATGACGGAAAATACCTAGGAAAAGTTGTCAACCTGAATTGTAAAGGAAGCTGTTCGTGAGTGAGAGTAGAGAACACCGTATTTGAGGGTAAGAAAGAAAGGGGACTGGGGAAGTCAGGAGTAACTCTGAAAGATACCAGATCCTTAAGAACTGGTGGCAAGAAGATGCCGATTCTTGACAGGTGGGAGTGAATTGACACCAGGTCAGTGGGGAGGGATCTGTGTCTTACCCTCGATCCTGGGCCCCCTGCAATCCAGTCTCAGTGATCTCTCGGCACCAGGCTTGCAGCTCTGGATCATCCTTTACAGCTTCATCACCCTTATAGAAAAGAGCCATCATGCTCTTCACATACCTTTGAAAAAGATGATGGCTCTCAGGAAATCAGTGTAGGACTTTCTGAACCTACACTCCCTCTTGTTTCTCTAAAATGTCCTCTGGGCTTTCCTCCTCTTTGTCACCTGTTGATGATTGTCCATAGTCTGAGGGCATCTTGGCCATAGAGAGATGACTTCACATCCAGGAGCCCACGGTCAGCCAGGTCATCCGGAGGGCAGAAGGAGCGATAGGTCAAACAAGCGGTGGCTCTCTGCAGTACGTCCACATGTCCTCCACGGCCAGTGCTCACCACCTGAGGACAACCCCACAGCATATATACTAGGTTTAGCCATGTCAGGTGGGGGTGAAATATGAGATTAAAGGTCCTACTAATGCTGGTCCTTTTAGCCAAGAGGCTATTCATGTTTGAGGCAGACCATGAAGGAGAGAAGTCTGCAGAGAGGGAGCAGAGAGAGGGGTGAGGAGTGGGTAGAGAAACAATTCTTCCAACATTAAGCCTTCCTCCCTCTTTGACAATCCCTTTCCATACCAGATCAAAAATTCCCCATTCAGAGACAAGATTTCTCCGGGCCAGGATGTTGATTTCCATGGTATAACGAAAATGGGGAATCAGGAGCTGGTTGTGGGAGAAAGAAGTGTGAGAAAGAAGTAGAGACTTGGTCTTCATGAAAAGGAGTGACATCTCAGGTTGGGTTGGGGTATGATTTTGGGGTTGAGAATTCAAAGGTTATAGAAATTCGTATATTTGTATGGTGTTATTTTTTTTTAATTTTAGGAAGTATTTGTCTCACACCACATAAACTAGTAGGCTTACTATATATGAAACCATACCTTTTGCTTTCTCTCTTATAACTATGGATAAAGTATCTCTCCTACCTTTAAAGGGAAATTCTTCCATTTACTATTCAGGAGCTCAACCCCTGCCCCCCCCCTTTTTTTTTTTTTTAAAGATTTAGAGTTTTTAGTAAGGTTTAGACTTAACACTAAACCCTAATACCATATAACCAACCCCTAAATCTCTACCTTACTAAAAGCCCTAAAGATGAACCTAGCACGGTGTCCCTCACCCCTACTCCCATAACTCTACCCTTAGCACTCTAAACTTGAATCCTATAACCCTGACCCTGTCCCTAACACCCTGAACCCATTTCCCTTTACGTTCCCCAGGACTTCACTGTGCAGTAGCAGTTTCTATAAACATACTATCAGATGCCCTACTTAGGAAGATGCTCTCTTGATAGCATATCTTAGTGCATCCATCCCATCTGTGGTTCTTCATCTCACATAGTCTGCTCTGGCCACACCTATCTGCTACCATGCCCTCCCTGTTGACAAATCCAATTGTTGTTTCTCTGTTAATAATTTTCTTGACCTCTCAGCAGCATGTGAGAGAAAACATCATTATCCCGCTTGAAACATTTTCTTCTCCTGGCTACCAGGAAACCATCAACTTCAGTGGATACCCGTTCCCTCACTTCTTTTCTCTTCTCACTTCCATCTACCCTCTCAGCTAATAAAGGCTGAGATATCCTGGAGTTATGTTCTGAGTCAGCTTCTCTGCTGTAACTATAACCCCTTTGTTATGTTGTTCTTAGGTGCCGTCGAGTCAGTTCCAACCCATAGTGACCCTGTATAGGGTTTCTGAGTAGCAGGTGGTGAGCTTGAACCGCCAACATTGCAGTTCAGCACATTAACCCACAGTGCCACATCAGGACTCCCACTATCAACTAGAGAGAATGTGATCTAATAAAATGGCTTTTAAATATGTGTGGTGCTATGGGATAAGCACTGTACTGCTAAACACAAGGTCAGTGGTTTAAACCCACCAACCACTCCTCAGAAACCCTATACAGGGTCACTCTGGGTTGAAACTGACTTGATGGCACTTAACAGCAACAACAACAATAATAAAACTCAAATCTACGTCTTCAGCTCGGACTTCTTCCAGGATCTTAAGGATTATATAGCCAACCGCCCTCCTGGCATTTTCAAATGGATATCTATAGGCATTGGAAACCTCACCTATTCCAAACAGAACACTTGATTCCTCTCTCCACCTACATCATATGCTTCCTCCATTTAAATAATACCCAGTATCTGCCGTTCTTCAGGCTCTTTTCTTTCCTCTCATTTACAGAGCTCTCTGACTAGAGCTCTGTCCACATCTCACACTATCTACCTGGAAAACTCCTCAGTTCAATATTCAATCCCTTTGTATAGCCTAATCTCACACTTGCCCCAACTCTTAACAGGTATGTATGTGCCCTGAAAGTTTGCATAGCACAGTGTCTGTCAACATTTAAACGGTGACTGCTGTTAATCTACTATTCCACAAGGCTAAACTCTGGGGAGAATCCTGAGTGTAAGATCTGCAGGGTAACCAAATGAAGAATGACAGAAATGCTGAAGTACCTTATAGACAGGATGCAGGCTGGGCAGGCTTCTCATGGTGGCCACAGAAATAACCTCGGCCATCATATGTCCCCTCAGCAGGTGTGACTGCAATTGGTGTAGCTGGAAATCAGAGCTCCGGACCCAAATCTTGGCCAGGAGCCACGTCATGGGAGGGTCTGAGGGCAGGAACAGCAGAGGATGGGGACATCCATAATGAGGTGGCTGGAGCTAGAGCAGAAGGGAGACTGGGGAGTGAGGACCTGCGGGTCTCAGTGCTACAGGAGATAATAATCGGGGGCAGCATGCCTGGGTCTCCCACCTGGATGACTATGGGTAAGAGTTGTCCGTCAGGCTCAAGCTTCAGCATAACCAGAGGGGCAGCAACATACTGCTGCTTGCAAATGATGGTGTTGGGCTTGACCCCATCCAGCAGGGAGAAATCAGCTTCAAACAGAGATCCAGCCTAGACGAGTAGCATGGGAGATAAAAGGATTGGGTCAGTTCCATATCTTGACCCTTCTCTTATTTGCCAGGGTCTGCTGTTGTTAAGTGTCATCGAATCGGTTCTGACCCATAGTGACCCTGTACAGGGTTTCTGAGGAGCAGCTGGTGAGCTTGAACCACCGACCTTGCAGTTCAAACTGACTTTGCAGTCCAGTGCCTTAACCCACAGCACCACACCAGGACTCCATTTGCCAGGGTAGTTCTTCCCTATACCCATCTGAGTCTATTACTTTACATCTAAACATCTAAACCATTTCCCCAGGGCAGCTCTGAAGGTAGGGAATCCACACCTGTGTCTTCCATTACACTTGGAACATGCTGAGGTGACCTTTCCAATTTTCTACCATGTAACTCCCAAACCAAAGATTACCACCTTTAACCCTTCCTCTAGAGGTTTCAGTCAAATGTTCATTGTTAAAGTACCATCAAGTTGGTTTCAACTCATAGCGACCCTGTAAAGGATTTCCAATGAGTTTGAACTGCTGATCTTGCAGTTCAAACCGACCTTGCAATCGAGTGCTTAGCCTACAAGTGCCATGTAGTGCAAAATATTTCTTTAATAAAAGCTCCAGTTCTCTCTGGGAAATTGATCAGTCTCTCTTGCTATTTCCTTCCAGAAGCATGAACTCTTCCCTAAGCTGGAGAGCCATCTGGTGAAGAACAAGATGAGTGAAGAAATAGAAGATGAAAAAGAAGACGAGGCCATCAGCCACAGGTGATTTCCTCATTCTCTAAAACAAGGGGGGCGGGGGACAGGAGGTTTGGCAATGTCTGGAGACACCATTCATCTTGTCAGTTTGTTGTGTGGTAGCTTGTGTGTTGCTGTGATGCTGGAAGCTATGCCACTAATATTATAAATACCAGTAGGGTCATCCGTGGCAGATAGGTTTCAGCTGAGCTTCTAGACTAGCTAAAAGGAAAGGCAGACCATTTCTGAAGAGTTAGCCTAAAACCCTAGCAGCAGCACACTGTCAGGTATAGTGCACTAAAATTATGACTGGAATGAACTGCTTCATCAAAGTACAGTTGTCCTTAATGATGTGGATGAATCAAAGCTTTCTGGACTTTCATTTGCTGATGAAGCACAAATCAAAATGAGAAGAGACAGCTACACATCTTCACTAATAATAATCAAAACATGGAATGTTCAAAGTATGAATCTAGGAAGATTGGAAGTTGTTAAAAATAAAACGGACTGTATAGAGTTCTAGGCATTGATGAGCTGAAATGGACAATCCTATGGTTTACTATGTTGGGAACGACATATTGAAGAGGAACGGCATTGCATTTGAAGATCTACTTTGAAGTACAATCCTGTCTGTGATAGGATAATATCCATACACATACAAGGAAGACACGTTAATTATTCAAATTTACCCACCAACCACTGAAGTCTGTGATGATGCATTTAAAGAATTCTACCAACTTCTTCAAACTGAAATTGATCAAACATGCAATCAAGATGCATTGATAATTACTGGTGATTAGAATGTGAAAGTTGAAAACAAATAGGAAGGATCATTAGTTGGAAAATAAGGCCTTGGTGACTCAAAAAAATGTGGTATCTGCATGATAGAATTTTGCAAGGCCAACAAATTATTCATTGCAAATATTATCTTTCAACAACAATACACATGGAACTCATCAGATGGATACACAGGAATCAAACTGACAACATTTGTGAGCAGGATGATGGCGAAGCTCAATAGCATCAGTCAAAATAAGGGCTGACTGTGGAACAGACAATCAATTGCTTATATGCAAGTTAAGGCTGAAGCTGAAGAAAATGAACAGGAGTTCATAATAGCCAAAATATGACCTTGAATGTTGTTAGGGTTGTTGAGAATCAATAAGCCAATTTCAACTCATAGTGACCCTGTATAGGGTTTCCACCATTAAATGACAAAGAGGTAGTCTCTTCAACAAATGACACTGGAAAAACTGGAAATCCTTTGCAGAAAAATAAAACAAGACCCATAGCTCACACCATATACCAAAACGAATTCAACATGGATTAAAGAGCTAAGTGTAAAACCTAAAATTATAAGGATCATCAATGGAAAAATAGCAATAAATTTAGGTGCTCTGATTCATGGCATAAATACACTATCAAACAACTGGAACACACAAATAGCAGAAAACAAAACAGATGACTGGGAGCTCCTAAAATTCGACACTTATGCACATCAAAGATTTCACCAAAAGAGTAATAAGAGAACCCACAGACTCGGGGAAAAAATGGCAATGACACCATTATCAGACAAGGGACTATTGTCTAAAATTTATAAAACACTTCAACTTGTCAATCAGAAGACACATAATCCAATTTTAAAATGGGCAAAGGACATGAACAGACACACCAACGGAGACATTCAGGCAATGAACAAACGTTAAGAAGAAAGCCCACAGTTACTAGAGCTGTTAAAGTGCTGCCGAGTCAGTTCTGATTCATGGTGAGTTTGAATGGCTGACCTTCAAATCAAAATAACAATGAGATATCATCTTACTCCAGCATTAATAGTAAAGTAAACAAACAAACAGAAATCAACAAATGCTGGAGAGTATGGGACCCTCCTACACTGCTGGTAGGACTGGAAAATGGTATGGCACTTTCTCAGAAGGTTGGAAGTAAAAATAACCATATGATCCAGCAATCTCTCTACTTTGTATATATCCTTTCACACCCATGTTCACTGCAGCATTATTCACAATAGCAAAAAGATGGAGCAAACTTAAATGCCCATCAGCGAGAAGAATAGTTGAACAAACTTTGGTACATACACACAATGATATATTATACAACAATGAAAAATAACTATGAAGCTGCAAAACTCCGCATAACATGGAGGAACCTGGAGGACATTATGCTGAGTGAAATTAGGCGATGGCCAAAGGACAGCTATTGTATGAGACCACTACTGTAAACAGTCAAGAAAAGGTTTTCATTCTATAATAAACTTTCTATGATGATTACCCAGAATACAGTGTATCCGTATGATGAACACTGGACTGCAAACCACATAGTCTGCAGTTAGAGTCTGTTAGCTGTTTTTTTGGGAGAAACATGAGGCTTTCTGCTCCCACAAAGATTTTTAAAGGCCTCCAAAATCCTATACAGGTTTGATATGAGTTGGAACCAAGTTGATGGCACTGCCAACAACAACACTTATTCACTGTGTAGACACATGCTAACTTGGGTGGTGGGGAAGACAGTTAAAAAGAAAAGGAAGCGAAAGAGGAAGGAAAAAAGTGTGGGGGGAGAATTGCTTCCTTCTTTTTCTCATGTACTGGAAGGGAAACAATGTTTTCTGATTTAAAAAAAAAAGCAAAATGTTACTTTGAGGATTAACATGCACCCCACCCAAGTTCTGGTATTTCCAATCAGTTCATATGCATGTGAAAGTTGGACAATGAATAAGGAAAACCATAGAAGAACCAATTCATTTGAATTATTGTGTTGAAGAAGAAGAATGAAAGTACCATGGAATGCCTGGAAAACAAATCTACCTTGGAAGAAGTATAGCCAGAATGCTCCTTAGAAGTGAAGATGGAGAAACTTCATCTCTCATTCTTTTGACATGGAGAAGGATATCATGCTTAGTAAAGTAGAGGGGGCAATGAAAAGGAGGAAGACTTCCAATGAGATGGACTAACACTGTGGCAGCAGCAATGAGCTCAAACACAATTGTGAGGATGACACAGGACCGGGTAGGGTTTTGTTCTGTAGTTTGTAGTCCAGTGTTTATTAGGTGTCACTAAGAGTCAGCGTCTAACAACAACGAGGGATACTATTGGTTTCTAAGGGGTACCGGCAAGGGATGCTGGTAAATATCCTTCAATCCAACCACCACAGTAGTGCCAAGGTTAAGAAAGCCAGAGCACAAATGGAGGGGACCATAGACCGAGAGGGTGTAAATGAAGGAGAGGTGGGAAAGAGAGAAAGGGGGTGGGGGATGAACAGGAGAGACAGCACCTGAAGTTCTTTCTCCAGCTGGATCTTCAAGTCTTCCATCCCTGGAGGCAACACCAGTCGGGCAGGGAGCCTCTTGGAACGCCTCAGGAGCATGGGGTTAGCACCATTGAGGAACTGGTACCCAAAGAGGGTATCATCCTTCCAGGAAACTCGAACCCTCTCTAGAGACATAGTTGAGGAACACACAGTGAGTTCTGAGCTCCACATCCCACAGGAATGTCTAATCTACCCTCTCTCCCTCTTTATAGGTTGCTGTTAAGTGCCATCGAGTCAATTCTAACTCATTGTGACCCTGTATAGGTTTCCAGTGAGCAGTTGGTGGGTTTGAACTGCCACCCTTGTGTACAGTGCTTTATCCTACAGCACCACACCAGGACTCTTCTTTATATACAATCTAAATATGTATATAGTTTCAGAAGTAAGTGTAACTAACCAGACAGGGCAGTCTTTCCACATGGGAATACTTGGTTGAAATCGCTCAATCTTTTTACAGTCTTTATGAAATCCAAAGACCCCTTGATGGCCAAGTCCTTCAACCTGTGGAAAGAATGGCAGTGCAGGAAAATCAAAAAAGGAGCCCACCTCCCCACCCTGAGATACAAATGCCTGGCTCAACTCAGCACTTACACTTTCGCCAGATTGAAAGTGAAGTCAAAATCTTTATCCTGGAGGAATCTCTCATTTCTGGGAAGGTCTCCCAGGCTGCTCCCTGCTATAGGCAGGATTAACCCATCTTTCCAGGAGCCCCACCTGGAGAAAGAATCAGAATTAAGTGGGGTGGCAGGTTCTTGGAGTCTGGTGGATTAATGGAGGCTTTCCAGACTCACCTGTAAACCTTCCTTCTTTCCTCCAGCTCCTGTTCCCTGTGTCTCTTAAGCAGCTTCTGGGGGTCATCACTCGCTGTCCGGGCTAGGGTGGGAAAAGAACAAGAGCGGAGTCCTTCCTTGCCATCCCTCTTCCAGGCTTTCCTCCCCAGCTTCACATTCCACCATCTCTTTCAACTCATTTCTCATCCTTCCCTCTTACATCATAGAATCCCTCTATCCAGTTCTTCCTCCCGCCATCCCGGTGCCTCACCAGTGCCCTCGGGTAGACAGAGAATCCCGTCGTCCTGCATCCAGCCATAACAGGGGAAGAGGGCTTCCCCTCGAGTCCCAGGGCCCTGCACGCGGATCCACTTGCAGAACCAGTCGACATTCAACAGTACGCTGTGTTTACGCAGCTTCACCAGCAGGAGGCGACCCAGGTGTAGGGGAACTTCTATCTCAAACTCCGTCTCCTAGTCAACAGTACAGAGAACTTAAAAGGTGGGTTTGGAGGTCTTCGGAGAGGACGGCGGGTCAGTGACCACAAACCAGGAGAGAGCTGACTCTGAGCCAAGTAGTCCACTCCCAGACTGCGTCCTAGAAACCGCTGAGCGCCCCATCCTGCAAGCATCTCATCTCTGACCCTTCCCATCAAGCAGGAAAATGGCACTCTCTCTCCCATCGCTCTAGCTTTTCCTTTTCCTACCGGACACTCCAGCCTCACCAGGCTTCACTCCCGAGCCCTGCTTCCCAGGTAATTCTCATCACTGTGGTCTAGCGTCCTCGGGCTCCTTCTAGTCATCTCCCCACCCCGATCCAGGTCTGTTGGGTGTTCTCCACAGGGTCTCAAGTCACCTGGCCAACCCCCTGCGGCCTGCACTGACCTTGCCCCACACCGGCCTCAGCTGCTTCCCGAGGTCTGCCTCCCCATGCTCTCCCACCAGCCACAGCTGCACCGGGTTGCAAGAGCCGGCCAAAATCGAGTCCCCGGTGGCCACACGGATCGTGTACTTGCCCATCTTGCAGAGACTTAGGACACTTGGAGGAACCTGGGAAGAAAATCAGCAATTAATAGGATCTGACAGTCCCGGGGAAAGCCACGCCCAGACTAAGTAAGTGTTGGGGTTCCAGGTTCCCACTTGCCACACCTGGGCTCATCTCCCACTCAGATGCAGGTGATCTGCTTGGTTATCTTCTCCGTACTGGGGGTTTTCACAGCAGTGGCGCAAAGTGCAGCCCCACCTGTATACACGTAGCAAACACCCCCTGACCAGTTCCATGCCCAGTCAAGAAATGAACACAAACGATGACAGAGAAACAAAGAGTCACTCCCACCTGGTTCTGGTGAATAAATGGATTAGATAGCAACAGGCTATGGAGATGAGGGAGGTGCAGTGATTTGAGTGTGGGAGTGTTTTCAATAAAAAGTAAGTAAACCATCTTGGCAAGGATGCAGGGGATTTTTATTGAATAAATTTTAAAGAGGCCAAGTAGATGAAACTTGTCCCACATATGTTATGTTCATGGGTTTAGTCTCACTCTCCCTTCCACACCCATTCATCCTACCAGGTCTGTCTATGCATCCACTCATGTTGTTAAGTGCTGTCGAATCAGTTCTGATTCATAGCAACTCTGTACAGGGTTTCCAAGGACAGGCTGGTGGGTTTAAAAAGCCAGCCTTGCCGTTAGCATTCCAGCGCTTATCCTACAACTCCACACCTGTACTCATGTTGTTGTGTTAGGTATGAGCGTGATGGTACCAACTTATAGCAACCCTATGCACAACAAAGCTAAACACTGCCCAGTCCTGCACTAACTTCACAATCTTAGCTACGTGTGAGCCCATTGCCGGTCCATGTCATTGAGGGTCTTTTTGTCACTGACCCTTCACTTTACTGAGCATGATATCCTCGGTATTGGTCCCATCTGAGAAGATGTCCAAAGTCTGACCATCCAGGCTTCCAAGGAGCATTCTGTTTGTTTTGGTACTCCATAGTATTTTTAATATCCTCCTCCAACACCATAGCATAAATGCATCAATTCTTCTATGGTCTTCCTCACTCACTGTTCAATTTTCACACGCATATGAAGCTACTGAAAATACCATGGTTGGGCCCTCAAACTGATATCTTTGCGCAGAAGATTTTCTGAATACAAGATACATCATTTGATTTCTTGACTGCTGCTTCCATGAGTGTTGATGGTTGATCTGAAGTCTTTGATAACTTCAATCTTTTCTCCATTTATCTTGATGTTATTTATTGGTCCACTGGTGAGGATTTTTGTTTTCTTGACATTGAGGTATAATCCACATCAAAGGCGGCTATGGTTTTTGATTTTCATCAGTAAGTATTTTAAGTCCTCTTCACTTACAGCAAGCAAAGTTGTGTCATCTGCATGTCACAGATTGTTAATGAGTCTTCCTCCCATATTGATACCATGTTTTTAATATAATCCATATCACTCATATTTAATCTATATGCTCAATATACAGATTAAATAAGTATGGTGAAAGAATATAACCCCAGCACACGCATGTCCTAATTTTAAACCATTCAGTGTTCTGTTGCTCTGTTTAAACAACTGTCTCTTGGTCTATGGACAGGTCCCTCATGAGCACAATAAAGTGTTCCAGAATACTCATCTTGACAACATTAGTCTGTCGTGATCCACACATCCAAAAGCCTTTGCATAGTCAATAAAGCACAGGCAAACATCTTTCTGATATTCTCTGCCTTCAGCCAAGATCCATCTGGCGTCAGCTATGATATCCCTTGTTCTACGTCTTCATGTGAATCCAGCTTCACTTCTGGGAGTTCTCTGTCTGTGTAATGTTGCAGCCAAATGGCTGTATTATCTTTAGCAATATTTTACTTGCATATTGATGATACTGCCTGATGATTTCCTCATTCCGTTGGATCACCTCTCTTTGTAATGGGCACAAATATGGATCTTTTCCAATCAATTGGCCTGGTAGCTGTCTTCCAAATTTCTTGGCATAGATGAATGAGAGCCTCTACTATTGTATCTTGTTTGCTGAAAGATTTCAATCGGTATGTCATCAGTTCCCGGACACTAGTTCTTTGTCAATGTCTTCAGTGAACCTAGGACTTCTTTCAGTACCGTTAGTTCTTGATCATATGCTACAGATTGAAATAGTTGAACATCAGCCATTTCATTTTGGTTCAGTGACTCTATGTATACCTCCCATCTTCTTTTGAATGTTTTGCTCATAAAATCCTTTAATATTTCAAGTCAAGGCTTGAATTTTTTCATCAGTTCCCTCAGCTTGAGAAATTCTGAGAATGTTTTTCCCTTTTGATTTTCTAAGTCTAGGTCTTGGTATGTTTCATTATAATATTTGACTTTGTCTTCATAAGCCGACTTTTGAAATTTTATTTTCAGCTCTTTTG